AAGAAATTGTTCCAAACTGTAGAGAAACAAAAGAAACATGGCAATTAAGTGCAACAAGTGATCCTGAACTGGATTCTCTTGTTATGAAAGATAAAATAGGAACAATTAGCAGAATTTAAATTCAGTCTTAGAATTGGATAATAGTAATCCATCAAAAATAATTTCTTGGGGCCAGCCCAGTGGCATAGTGGTTAAGTTCACATGCTCTGCTTCCGTGGCCTGGGGTTCACGGGTTCGGATCCCAGCCACGGACCTACACACCACTCATCAAGCCATGCTGTGGCAGCGACCTACATACAAAATGGAGGAGGACTGGCATGGATGTTAGCTCAGGGCCAGCCTTTCTCACCAAAATAAATAAATTAATAAAATAATAATTTCTTGATTTTAATAGTTATACTGTCACTATATGGAGGATGAATATATATATAATATATGAAAAAAATAGACAAATCCACAGAGTTGGAGATTTTAACAATCTTCTAACAATTATCAATCAATAATGGATAGAACAATTAAACAAAAATTTTATATATATACAACTTTAGATGAAAAATGTATATATATAGACACCTAAGTACTTAGCAGTGATAGGGCATCAGGTTGGTAAATTGGCAAGCTACTCTCAAATGGTCAAATGGCTCCAGAAAAAAAGTTATTTGAATTGTACTTGCAACTTTTCTGTAAGTTTGAAATTATTTCAAAACAAAAATATATATAAGAAGTACACACATACAACGCTATATTGATGCATGCATAACATATGTAGATGTTATACCTATGACAATAGTACAAAGCACTGGACAGGAAGGGAAATGGAATTATACTGCTGCAAGATTCTTACATTTTATATGAAGTATAATATTTATTCTAAGTAGACTGTGATAAATTGGGGATGAATATTATAATACCTGAACAGTCACTAAAAAAAAAATCAAACCAATATAGCTAACATGTAAACAGAGAAATTACAAAAAATATGAAAAAAAGAGACAGATAGGTAGAGAGTAAAGGGATGGAAGAAGATATACCCTGCAAAGAGTAACCTTAGGAAAGCCAGAGTGACCATATCAATTTTAGACAAATTTCAAAACAAAGAGTATTACTAGAAGTATCAAAGAGGATCATTTATAACAATAAAATGGGCCAATTCAATAAGGAGGAATAACAATCATAAATATATATGCACCTAACAACAGAACCTCACAATATAAAAAGCAAAAACTGAAAGAATCAAAGGGAAAAATAGACAAATCCACAATGGGACCTGGAGATTTTAACAATCTTCTCTCAGTAATTGATAGAACAATTAGACAAAAATTGGTAAGGATACAAGAGATTTAATCAAATGTACAAATCACCTTAATCTAACAGGTATTTACAGAGTACAATAGCACCCAACAATGGTAGAACACATCCTTTTTAAGTGCACATGGAACCTTGACTAAGACAGATAATATGCTGGGCCATAAAATAAGTCTAAACAAATTTCAAAGATTGAAACTTACAAACTATGTTATCTAACCATATAACACAACTAACTTAGAAACCAATAACAATGAGAAGTCTAAAAAATCCACAAATATTTGGAAATTTAAAAATACAGAAGAAAAATGAGAAAACATCTAAAACTGAATGATAATGAAAATATGACATACCAAAATTTGCAGGATAGAGTAAAAGCAGTGCTTCAGGGAATTGTTCATATTCAAAAAGATAAAAGATTTAAAACCAATGGTTTAGGTTTCCACATTAGGAAGGTAGAAAAAGCAATAAAATTAAACACACAAATACATACACAAAAGAAATACAGATTTTATTAATCTTTTCAAGGAACCAAAATGCTAGAAAAGCATATAGAAAAATTCAACATCTATTCACGATATTCCCAGAAAACTAGGAATACAGGGCCATCTGATAAGGAGCATCTATAAAAAATTTATTACTATCACATTTAATGGTGAATACTGAACCCTTTCCTTGCAAAATTGGGAACATGGCAAAAATACACACTGTTAGCACTTCTATTCAACTTATACTGGAGGCCCTAGCCAGTACAATAAGGCAAGATAAAGAAATAAAAACACAAAAATCAGACAGGAAAAAGTAAAACTGTCTCTATTCACAAGTGACCTCTTTGTTTACGTGGAACATCCTAAGAAATCTAGAAGTTGCCTAGAAAGGATGTCCTAGAAAAGCAATTTAGGGAGGTAATGGGATATAAGGTCAAGGTATAAAAATCAATTGTATTTCTATATACTGGCTGCAAACAACTGAAAAACTAGAGAGAGAGAGAAAGACAGAATGAGAGAGAGAAATACTCAATTAAAAGACCTCACTAAGAATATGAATAGGTAAGCCACAGACGGTGAGGATATATTTGCAATATATATACCTTACAAAAGACTTATATCCAAAATATATAAAGAATTCACACAAGTCAATAATAAAAAGACAATTTGTTTAAAATAGTCCAAAGATTTCACAAAGTAAGATATATGAACGGATAATAAGCACAGAAAAAAATGTTCAACATCTTTAGTCATCAGTGAAATGTCATTACAACCACAATGAGATACCCCCACACATCCACTAGAACTGTTCATTATTAACAAGTCTGATAAAACCAAATGTTGCATGGATGAGAAACAACTGCACTTGTCTGTCATACATTGCTGGAGGCTGTGTAAAATGGCACAACTACTTTGGAAAAATGCTGGCAGTTTCTTATGTAGTTAAACATGTTCTATGAAAAATTCTATATATCCAAGAGAATTAAAAACATATCTCCACAAAACAGACTTTTACAAGATTGTTCATAGCAGCCTTATTCATAATATCCAAAGCTAAAAACAACCCATAAGTCCCTTAACAAGCAAATGGATAAACAAATTGTAGTATATTCATATAATGGAACACTGGTGTTATGGGTTGAATTGTGTCCCCTAAAAAGATAAGTTGAAGTCCTAACCACCAGAACCTGTGAATGTAACCGCATTTGGAAACAGGGTCTTTGCAGATGTGATTAAGATGTAAGTTGACATGAGATCACATCGGTGTAGGGTCGGTCCTTAATCCAGTATGACTGTTGTCTTTATTAGAAGAGGAAGAGAGACACAGACACAAACACAAGGAGTAGGCTGTGTGACTACAGACATAAAGAATGGCATGATGTGTTGTCTACAAGACAGGGAACACCAAGGATTGCCAGCAACCCCAGAAGCTAAGAGAAAGGCATGGAACGGTATCCCCCTAGGACCTTCAGAGAGAGCATGCTGACATCTTGATTCTAGACTTCGAGCCTCCAGAACTGGGAGAGAATAAATTTCTGTTGTTTTATGCCACCTAGTTTTGTGGTACTTTGTTACACTAGCCCTAGTAAACTAGTACAAACCACCCAATAATAAAAGGGAATGAACTACTGATCCACCAGATGAAACTCTAAAACATTATGATCAGTGAAAGAAGCCAAACCCAAAATGAATTTATGATGTAAAAACCTTAGAACTGTGGTTGCCTCTGGCCAGGGATAGCAAGTCTAGGGGAGTGACAAGATTGGGAAAAAGCACGAAAAGACTTTCTGAGTCAATTGAAATGTGTTCTCTCTTGATTAGTGTGAAACTACTAGAGTGCATGCATTTATCAAACCTCATTGAATTGTACACAAGATCTGTGCATATACTTCAAGGAAAAATGTCTGTAAATACATATTAAACTCTAGTTAGTAGGTATGCTTTTTGTAGTAGTTTAGGTTAGCAAACCTGAGAATATTTTCTGTGTACTCTAGCAAATGAGTGCATATACTGAGGATAATGGGAGCTATATGAGCAATACTGAGGATTTGAGGCGGGAGTTCTAAATACAGAAAAACAGCAGCAAGCCCTGTGGTGTTGGATTGGAATTGGAGGGTCTCAGTATGAACTCGTGGTTTTTAATATGGAAACCCAGCTAGCAAGACAAAGGAGTGGAGAACAGGAGATATTTCCTTTTTGTGTCTTTCTGTCTTTTTGGATCTGAAAAGGCAAAATGTAACGAAGTAAGTAAAAGGAACAAGAATGCACTTCACTGACGGAGGCCACTTCCCTTGAATGGATTCTCATCAGATGTGTGCTAGGACTTTTTCCAATGGTATGTGAAGTATACTAATTTATATATCTAAACTGTTATTTCTTAGTCCTAAGAAAGACAGACTGGTAGAAAAGGGAATGAAGAAGGACAAGGTTTTTTAAGGTTTCATTTATCTTGGTAGTTGTCTTGAAGTTAATCACTGGCTAATGAAAACATTCTTAGGTGCATAGTTACTAAACTACCTTCAGTCTTTCTTGGAAGTCTTGTGTATTTACTTGTTGATAAGTAGGACCTGGAGGAGATGACCTATGTTTTTAACCCCAGATGAGTAATTTTGCTTTTTTTAAAACTAAGGACAATTATACTCTTTTATTTATTTATTTTGGTCCTCAACCTTCTATTTAGTTTCACTGAAAGCTAGTATATTTTATATGGCTTTTATTTTGTGGAATACAAGACAATTCATTCTCTAAATACATTAATACTGGTAAATACTTCAAAGTCAAAGATTTTTTTTCTCCAAAATTATACTGGCAATTTTTCCTCTGTCTCTCACTCTTTTTGTTTGTTTGTTTGTTTGGTAATTAATAGTCAAGTACACAGATGTCAAAGCCACCAAAATTAGAGTATTCAGTCTGCTAGATGATGGTGAATCAAATCAATAGGTAGGCACAGCATCCCTAAGTAGAGATTTATAAGGGATCAGTTTGGATTTTTGTTGACAGCCCTCCTTCAGATCATGTTACCTTGGTTAGAAGCCACCCGCAGCACATCTAGTAGATATAAGTCAGTGGGAGCAGGTAGCTGATATGCCAAATTCTAGTAATTCATTTGTCAAACTACTAGTGGGATGATTCCTACCTGCCGACATAACAAGAGAGAGCATAAAAGAGAGACAGTCAGCACACAGGAAAGCACATCTAGCACCTTACCATCCACAGGCTTGACCTCAGCTGGCGTCTGCCCTTCCTGTCCTCTCATGCTGTTCTCTTTAACACTTTCTGTCTCCCGCCAGAAATCCTCCATGGAGGCGCTGTCTACGGAGGCTTGTGAGCTGGAGCGGCTGAATGCAGGTGAAGGTAGGGATTCATTGGAAAGCATCCTGTTAATTCTTTGGCAGCGAGGAATGGATTTTCTGAGGAAAGAATAATATCTGTGAATGAGAATCAGAGTCTTTTATGTTATAAATCACAAAATTCAATTTAGGTTTGAAATCAGTGGGGAAATGGAGTTAGTGCAGTAGAGGAGGGTTTGAGGAAATCATCTCCATCAGTGGCAGCCCTTCTGTTTTATTCTCTATAATTCATAACGACTCTGTGGCCGTATAGGAATTACCAAGAAAACACTGTTTTGTGTGTGTGTGAGGCAGATTTAGCCCTGAGCTAACATCCATTGCCTATCCTCCTCTTTTTGCTGAGGAAGACTGGCCCTGGGCTAACATCCGTGCCCACCTTCCTCTACTTTATATGGGACCGCACCACAGCAAGGCTTGACAAGCGGTGTGTTGGTCTGTGCCCAGGATCCGAACCCATGAAACTCAGGCCACCAAAGCAGAGTGTGCGAACTTAACCACTATGCCATCAGGCTGGCTCCAGAAAATACTTTTTATAATTTTCACACACTCATAAATTAGGAAGTCATTTGTATTAGTCAAAATATATATAGTCAAAGTTTGCCTCTGAAAGTATCTAAGATGACAGAGAAGGGTGTAAAAAGTTGGCTGCTCACACCTATCAGGATGGCTACTATTAAAAAAACAGAAAACAACAAATGTTGGAGAGGATGTGGAGAAGTTGGAACCCTTGTACACTGTTGGTGGGAAGGTAAAATGGTGCAGCTGCAGTGGAAAACAGTATCCTCAAAAAATTGAGGATAAAAAATTAAACATAGAATTACCATGTGATCCAGCAATTCCACTTCTAGGTATATACTCAAAAGAGTTGAAAGCAGGTTCTCGAAGACATATTTGTACACCCTTGTTCATAGCAGCATTATTCACAAAAGCCACAAGGTGGAAACAACCCAAAAATGTCTGCTGACGGGTGAATGGATAAACAAAATATAGTGTATACATACAATGGAATATCATTCAGCCTTAGAAAGGAAGGAAATTCTGACACATGCTCCAACATGGATGAACCTTGAAGACATTATGCTCAGTGAAACAAGCCAGGCACAATAAGACAAATACTGCATGATTTCACTTATATGAATACACAGAGTAGTCAAATTCACAGAGGTGGACATAGAACAGTGGTTGCCAGGGGCTGGGGGAGGGGGCAATGGGGAGTTGCTCAATGGGTACAGAGTTTCAATTTTACAAGATGAAGAGAGCTCGAGCTGGATGGTGGAGATGGTTGCACAACAATGTAAATGTACTTAATACCACTGCACTGTACACTTAAAATGGTTAAGATGGTAAATTTTACCTTAGTGTATTTTATCAGAATTTTTTCAAATTGAAAAAAAAAATTTTTTAATTGGCTTTTGAGATAAGGAGATAGTGAGAAGAAATAATCTATAACATTAAATAGAAAACCCTACATTAGAATGGGGCAGTGGGGCATAAACCTTGAGCACAGAGGCTGGCGTTGAGAAGGGCAGTGTGGGATTCTCTTATCACTACCCAATCTAGGAGACAGACAGCTGAGCAAGGTATGGAGTAGCTTCCTGGGGCACATTCCTCATGGGGCTGTTGCAAGGACTAAATGAATTAGCACATGTAAAGCATTTAGAACATAAAAACTTTCAACAAATGTTGGTTTAAAAAACAAGAGACACAGTAGGAGAGAGAGATGCCAAAATGCTGAAATTCTGAGATTTTGGTGATTTATGTAAAAATAAAACATTGTTATGTAAAGTGATGGATGTTATGTAAAGTGATGGATGTGTTAACTAACCTTATTGCGGCAATCATTTCACAATATACATGTTAATCAAATCATCACATAGACCTTAAACTTACACAGTGTTATCTGTCAATTATATCTCAATAAAACTGGAAAAAGGGGCCAGCTCTGTGGCATACTGGTTAAGTTCACATAATCCGCTTCAGCAGCCCAGGGTTCGCAGGTTTGCACTGCTCATCAAGCCATGCTGTGGCGGCGTCCCACATACAAAATGGAAGAAGATGAGCACAGATGTTAGCTCAGGGCCAGTCTTCCTCAAAAAAAAAAAAAAAAAAAAAACTGGAAAAAGTTTTTTTAAATATTTGACTTCCATGATATATGACTGACAAATACTACATTTCCTAGAAACAGAATGTTTGATTAACTGGAACACTTCGGTCTCCAATCATGAAGAATAACTGAGTTACTTTATGCAGTAAAATCTTGTGTTCTTGTTCTTACATGATTTCTTTCTTTTTGATTTTTCAATTGGTGTGGGTATGCAACTCCTTTCAAAGAATTCCTGTACGTTTGCCTTCTCTTTGGGTTCAGGTGGAATGGAACCAAAAGGTTGAGACCACCTTTTAACCAATGTGTGGTCTGAGCTGTCTCACCCAAAACAGGAACTCCCAGATGGAAAGATGTAACCAGAGTGACGGCACAGAAACATCCAGCCGTGGGCACGATGACTCACTTATGGACAATTAAATTTTGATGTGCACTAGTGGATTGCTATCAAATTGAGCAGTGTCTACAGCATATGTAAAGCACTGATATGCGTGAGAGTACAAAAGGAGAGGGGAATAAGAAAAAAATTCCATGTGCTCATATTGTCTATACCTCTGGTGATCCTAGATTTCTAAATCACCTTTAATAGAAATTCCTGTAATTTTATCATTGATTTTTTCATGGTACCAAACTGTAAGTAGTTCTAGTTTTGAATATTAACTGCCAACGAGTAAGCCAATTTATTTTTAAAATTCAAAGCATTTCAGGAAAATACAAAATATCCATTTTTATTTTTTGTGCTGTGCTGTGTGATAAAAAATAATTTTAGGCAGCCTTGTTTGAAATTGAGTAATAAGAGTTTTTCACTGAATTCTTTATAGTTTGATAGGACAGACACATTCTAGTGGTTGAAAACGTACAAAATCAACAAAGGTATCAAGATAGTTATTGTTCTCTTTATTATTTTTAGGCTTTTAAGCCTTTTCCCTTTTGCAACAAGGTTAATACTAAAAACTACTGACAAATTCATAGAATACAAGCACAAATGTCTACTTCTTGTAAAACTGTAATTAATCACCACTGCTCACAAAGCCTACTGCCCTCCATGTACCATATTCAGAAAAAGTATATAGATGCTCCCAACTTCTTTAGTTCTGGAATTTTTTAGGCTTATTTCTTTAAAAAATAATATGCTTGACTTTCAAAAAATTTACAGTCTTAGCAGACAAGAACCAAGTTTTTAAAAATTATAATGCAGTATACTGTAAGTATAAAAGTTTAAATAATATACAATTCTATAAAGCAAAAACGGAAGGTCTTCTCCCATAAGTATCATATCAATATTGTTCTATAAGCTGCCTTGTTTTCCCCACTCAAAAACATGTCATAGGGAATCTCAGAGATGAGATCTTTATAAAACTCTGCTGGGGGCAGGGGACGGATATGAAATACTCGTCAGGGGCATCTGACTAACACACTGTTTAGAGACAATCCACCTAAAGAATCCTTTAATTGCAATGGTCAACTATTTTTTTTGGCAAAGAAGTCAGACAGCATTTTTGGGACAGGCACATTTGGAAGAGTTCTTACTTTTGTAGTTAGGGATCCAAATATTTCCCCCTTCACCCAGGGAGGTGTAGGGACGGTGACCTCCCAGTCTTAAAGCATCACATGACTGTGATCCTCCGGTTTATCGAACACGTTGATGAGCCTTAATCTGCAGCTTCACACCTTGCCATATTAGGATAAATAGAGCTTAAGCTTCATCAACTGTTTGTATTTTTTAATTCCAAAACAATAGCAGGAAAACGTTACACGAAAAACAGAATGCAATTGTATTACACAGCAACTTCCGTTGGGAAAACACCACTAGGTTTAAAATTAGATTTTAAGGGCCGGCCCCGTGGCTTAGCGGTTAAGTGCGCACGCTCCGCTGCTGGCGGCCCGGGGTTCGGATCCCGGGCGGGCACCGACGCACCACTTCTCCGGCCATGCTAAGGCCGCGTCCCACATACAGCAACCAGAAGGATGTGCAGCTATGACATACAACTATGTACTGGGGCTTTGGGGGAAAAAATAAATAAATAAATAAAATTATTAAAAAAAAAAAAATTAGATTTTAAGTGCATGGTAATTACCATAAATTCAAAGTGGCATTAAAAGAAGATTTTATTATTCCATTTTTTCCCTCTATTACTTTTTTAGAAATAACTTGTATTATATTTTAATGATTACTGGAGATCTATAATTTATTACTGTCTTCCTTGAATTAATATTTTACAATTATACTCCTGTAAATACCTTACATGCTTTTCATTACTATTGTCATACATGTTGCTTCTTTCCATGTTTACATCCCACGATAGTTATTGTTGTTGTTGGTTTAAAAACGTCAATAACATTTTTTACAAGCAAGCAAGCAGTCTTTTTTATTTCTCCTTTCTGGTGCTCTTTTTTCCTTCACGTATGTCCTTGCATCCATAACAGATCCGTCCCAATCAGCTCTGAGAACTTCCTTTGACACTTCCTCTCTCTTTCCTCAGCATTTCTGTGGATCTGCTGGCAACAAATTCCCTCAGAGTTTTTTCTGAATACGTCTTTAACTCATTTTCATTTCTGATGGATATGTTTACCGGGCATTGAACTCTAGGCTGGCAGCTTTATTGTTGTTTCTGAACCTTTTAAAGATGTCATTCCATCGTCATCTGGACTCTCAATTCTGATGAGAAGTCAAGGATGATTCCTATTGACATTCTTCTAAATATAATGTCTTTTTTCTCTCTCTCTTCATCTTTTGTTTTTAGCAGCTTACCTATGAAATGCCAGGATTGTGGTTTTCTTTGTATTTATTCTGCTTAAGATTTACTGAGCTTCTTGAATCTGTAGGTCGATGTCTTTCATCAATTTCGGGATATCTTACCCTTTTTCTCTTCACATATTTCTTCTGTCCCACCCCCTCTCTCCTCTTCTTCTGGAGCTCCAGCAACACGACCACTGTACCATTTGATGTTGTCCCAAG